GCAGGTCTGAATGAGACGCACTCTCTGACAGCAGGTGGCACTAATGAACAGGGTTGCCAGGTTTTCGCAATAAAACTAGTCAAATCGCGTTTCGAGTAAGGTTCCCCTGTAAATATCGCATTCAGGGGTAAAATACACGTTTTTCGGCGAGGATCTTCCAGTAAAATTCACATTCCAGGGACTAAATATCACGTTATTGGGGTCGCTTCAACCCGCGGACATGAACAACAACCCGCGGCAACAGTGTTAAAGTAGCCCAATTCCGCGGGAAACCCGCGGACTTGGCAACACTGCTTATGATCCGACCGCAATTTAGCGTTTCCTTGTTTACCGCTGTAAACAAAGCAGAGCTGCGCTTTATACAGAGAAGAAAATGCCATTGCCATCGAAACTTTTCTCAAGACAGTTCCCTATCGCGATCAACGAGTTGGCGACCACTGCTCTAGGGTTTATAGAGTTTAGTTTTATAAAAAATATATATATTAAACTATTTTACTTTTTTTTTTTTGTATTTTTACTTTTCACAATTTGTATGTGTACATGCACATTTAAGTTCTTATATTAATTGCGAGACTACATTGATTAATTTAACTTTTAAAAATTTATTTGTCACACTGCATTAGGCTACTATTTCAGTGAAATGCAAAAAAGACAGTCACAGAGCAAAAAACACACCGTCCTTACCTATTTTTTTTCTATTGTAAATGTTTTCAATGTAAATGTTTTCAAACACAAGAACCATTTATAGTTCACTGTCATAGTCACTTACACATTTTTAACCCATGAGGAAACCACTCATTCTGATGTATAATTATGTTCTCACCAACTACTCGTGGTCCATCGAGCAACAGCTAAGTGGCTGTTAACTACCGCACACCGAAGCCCATTATTAATGGCATTGCCTTTGTCATCTCTGCCACAGCCTTCAGTCGTTGCATGTATGACACATTCTAAGTAATTTTTTTTACATAGAAATAGGAGACCCTGTATTAGAAAGAATTTCCTGCTGAGTCAAGTCAAGTCAAGAAACCAGGCTCAGTCGGGGGGCCAGTTCTCCTCTGACCAGACAAAACCAGCAGTTCAATTCCAGGCTGCAGCAATGTCACATTGTGCAGAGGACTCATCTGGTTCCTGTGGTCTTGTCCCGCTGACTGTCTCTTTGACTTTTAAATACATGCAAAAGAGCCTCCGGCAATGAAATCTCTGCTCATGTTGTGGCACCAATTAGTGAGCTTTACTGCCAGCCTAATTGAAACATAATTATTAGGATTGTTTGTTTCTGGGTCAATTTAAAACCAACACAAGAGAAAAAGAACAAAGGTGCATGCCATGAATAACATTTGCAATACTCTAATGTGTGCACCATTGTCCACTTGTGCTGCCGGCTCAGGAAAAATAGCACCATGGGTTTTGCCAAGAGAAAGAACAAATCCAGGATTTTATTCTCAACTCGATCCCACAGATATCTACCCTGCAGCATCCTCAGCACCCGTATTTGTTCGTTTTCATTTCAAGCATGTGTATTTTTAGTATATTGTGTAGATGTGGGTTGAGGATCCAACAAAGAGCTCAGAGCCTCCCCAAAATATCTGGTCTACAGATAAACCGACCATCCAGCCAGCACCGAACAACTGACAATTATAAAGATGTATGTTCTTCACAGTCTGTGAGTTTTTATGTATCTCTTTGGCAGTCTGCCACCTCCTCTGTGCTCCCACACACACAGGTAAGTTTGGAGCAGTGTGTAGGCAGCCCGGTCCAGATTTCTAATCATAGTAAGATCCAGATCAATAGGTGCCTGTTAAGATGGAGTTTGCAGCTGAGAGCAGCTCTAGGAAAACAAAGCAATGAATACACGCTGTGGAGAGGAGACTAGAGAAATGAATAGAGGCATATGTGGGTGAATTTCGAATCCTATACCATTTTTTTTTTCAGTGTACAACATTTCTGTTACTCAAACAGTAGGGCATGGACTCAGATACTATATAGGGAACTTTCTCAAAACAGCCTATAATACTTGTCATCAGATAACATGAAAAGAATGTGGATTTTGATGGCAATAAAAATTATGGACCAATGACGTTGCAGTTACTTTGCCAATATGTCATGAAATTACCAAAGTATTACAAATATCGTATGTAACTGGAACATTTTTGTTTATTTTATAACCTTCTGAGGCTGTACTGGCAATGTTGTTAGTTGATAATAATGGTAATGAAACTTCAGGCACACAATGTTGAGGTTACGTTGCCAATAAGTCATGAAATTACCAAAGTATTACGAATTACGAATTCTTTTATTCCAACTGCAATTTATTTTCAATAAGGCCAAATAGTTCTATTAGTATATTGTAGTTTAGTCTATGTTTATTTATTTATCCTTTAAGGTGTTTCTTTAGACCAGTTGTGTTTTGTTTGTTGTGTGTGTTTTTGTGCTGTGTATATGTGAGCCTTTTACCTATAAGACAAATTTCTATCACTGGTTGATAGACAATAAAGTTTTTGAATTTTGAATCTTTATACAGTACGTAACTGAAATATTCATGGAGTCTGTACTGAAGACATTGTGAGTTGGTAATTTGACAGCAATGAAATAATGAGCATTCAGTGTCATATAGTTGTCAATTAAGTCATGAAATTGGCAAGAAAATACCAATAAATTACGTAACTGGTGCATTGTGTGGTAGCTGGGATATGTTCTGGCAAGCTTCTCTCAAAGATATAAATAAACGTTCTTCCAGTAACATCAATAGAATGTTTATTCAAAGTTGCCTGTTTCTTTAATAATGCTCACAAAATGTTTGCACAAACTCATTATATAGTTCATGGAAGAAGGTTTTTTTTTCTGAAATGTTTTAGTTGGGTATTTGTCTAACATTTTTTTTAAACGTTATTACTTACTGCTTGTTTTAGAAAGTTCAGAGAACATTCAAAAGTAAGGTCCTTATGATGTTTGCAAAATGCTAAAATTGAATGTTCCCTTAATATTTTCTCTAGCATTTACATAACCAAGAAATTAAAAAGAACATGTTTTAAGAACATAATTTTGTTAGCTGGGGTGCTAGCAACACCAAGGTCATGGGTTTGATTCGCAGAGAATGGATGCACTGATTCCAGTTACTTTGAATGCAATGTATATTACTTTGGATTAAAAATGTCTGCTAAATATAATAACGAAGCTGATGCTCATGATTGTGCGAAAGACTAAAAACAACATACCATGAGTCTTAAATGTGCACAGGGTGAAAATCTTCTGCTTTCCAGTGTTAACCTGACCTTAACTGCCAATCCTTCAATAAATTCTAGATATATTTTGCCCAAAGATATTTGTGAATACTTTTACTGTAGCAGAAGGCACCAGTGAGGACTGGAATGATAGGACACATGGGGAGTCATAGCAGGGATTCCAGAACGGTTTCACCTTGGTTTGAGCCTGACTGATTGCCCACCTCACTGTAAATAGCAAGTGAACGACTCCTTTGGACTGCCAGTCCCTATACAGCACATTCAATCAGCAATCATGTATGCCTTACAAAAAATAAAAGCACAAATACAAAACTCGCTGACATGATGCTAAGGATGGTTGATAGGGCGTTGCTATGCAGCTGCTAATGTGTTTGAGTTGTTTTTATCATGTTTTTATGTGGTTGCTTGCTAGTGTATTCTGTTTTGTTGGTTACTCTTAAAGAGCCCTTCTCATAGTCTCTGGCTATGAAAATCAGTTTGGACCCCACACACCCAGCCCACTCTCTTTGAACTGTTGCCCTCTGGTTGTCGCTACAGAGCACCCGAACACCCAGGCACAAGAATATTTTTTCCCATTTACATTTAGTAATTTAGCAGATGCTTTTATCCAAAGCGACTTACAAATGAGGACAATAAAAGCAGTCAAAACTAACAAAAGAGCAACAATATATAAGTTCAAATGACAAGTCTCAGTTAGCCTAACAAAAAATAGAAAGCTAGTGTTTGTTTGTTTTTTTTTTGTTTTTTTTAAATAAGTGAAAGTGTTAGAGTTAGAGGGTCAAATAAAGGTTCCCGCAGGCTATATTCAGCCTGAACAATTAAAACTTTCATAACTATACATTGTCCATCATAACTGACACATTTATACATATAGAATCCGAAAATTGCACAGTTGTTAATTACATAAAGTGTACACTTGTAAATAACATATCTATACATTCATTAAAACATTATTTATGTATTTCTTCTTTATAGCTCAACTCCTTTATTACATTGTATTATTTCGTTTTCTGTTTTTCTTATATTAGTGTTATATTTAATCTCTACTGTGTAATGCATATCTGCACTATCATGTATGTCTGCACTATGTTTGTACTTTCTTCTGCACTGGAAGCTCCTGTTGCCAAGACAAATTCCTTGTGTGTGTAAACATACTTGGTAATAAAGCTCTTTCAGACTTCTGCCTTCTGATAGATATGGCTGAGGTCCTTTATCCCGAGTCTGGTATTTTTCCACTTGTTTTTTTTTTTTGTCAGCAAGTCAAAAATGGCCTGTCTGATTGCTTTCAAAAGTAATAATACACTTCTCCTCAACAAACCATATAATTTAGCACCTCATTCATGTCAGTAGCATAAAGAGTGAATAAAAAGGTAAGTTCCAAAGTGTAACACTTAAGAGTTTTTAAAACTTTGATTTAATCAATACCTAGGCATTTATACTCTATTCCTTGTCAGCAAAAGCATGTGCATGTGAAACTATGGGAATTTTGTGGCAATGGAAATTATTTCATTTGACACCG